TCCATGGAGAACTACCAAATGATTTAGGAGGGGACTCACTCACCTTTGTGTCATCAATATTCGTTAAGGTGATTTGCGTAATTATTCCGTGTTCCATCTTTTGGGAGGTTCCAACTTTTATAGAATTTGTACTGGCTTTTGTTGCCAAGTAGGAAATGAGAAGTTTTGTTTTCATGTTCTTTCCCATAATGTTTTAGACTTTTAGGTAATAATCTTTTTTGAGTTTGGCAATGTGTGAATATATAAACATGAGGTAATATATAAACTTATATTGATTTTTTTGATGTTTACAGAACTTGTATTTTCTTTTTCTTTTTTTCTTTTGCCCCGGAGATGCCCAAAGCTTAAACTAATGGCATATATTATGGATTTTTAATCACATGTCCGTTCTTATGGATTTGCCTCGTTATGCCTTTTGAGGGAACCATTTTGGGAATATGATCTTATTGAGACTGATTTATCTCTTTAGCCAATGTTATATTTTACCTTAGTTATAGGGAAAGGTACTAAACCACTAAGGCCCCGTTTGGTACACGGAGAATTAGAATTGAGGACTTCAATTCCAATTCTCGTGTTTGGTAGCACAAAAATTATATGGATTTGGAATTGGTAGTGCAAAAAATGAATTAGAATTGATGAATTCAATTCTATGGAATTGAATCTCATGAAATTTTAATTCCAATTCAATTCCAATTCCATCAATTTCGTGTCCCAAACGGACCCTAAGGATGATGGTGATATTGTGCTATTTGTTGATTGGGGTGTTATTTGTTCCGTGGAAAATTTCTCTAAAATAATCGCAAAGCCGTCCAATCAATTATCCGTCGCAATTTCACGGGCTTAAAATTGAGATTACTTTTGCTGGGCGAGCACCCATTTTGCCCTTACAGTACAAATGTAAATATAACAAACAGTAGAAAGCTCAGTGTTGTTAGAGCATAAAATCTTTTTAGGCTCTCGATTATAAGTTTGAATTTTTGGTCAAATTGGTTCACTGTATCAAAATTTGAGTCCTTGAAAGGTTTAAGGAAGCGATTTAGCACATCTATCTAACCAACTACAAAAGGGTTCTATGGAAAAAGAGCATTATAGCAAATCAAGGGTTTAGAAGATGCCATAAGTTGAAGAAAGGAACATTTCTTGATCTAAAATGTTCTATAGATTCAAGAGGTTAATGATTATGTAACTAAAAGCAAATTTATCCTGTAAACCTAAACCCGATTTTAGAGGTCTTCGTGGATGAAGTGCATCTTTTTGCGTAGTGGAGCATTAGCAGGTAGAGTGCAAGAAAATGAGAGGAATGCTTTTACTCCGGACTAGAAAACTAATAGCAATAACATCACTTTGTGATCAATTCTTGGTGAAAAATAAAGACTACTAAAAACTACTACGTACAAATTGTCTATTTTGAAATTTTAATTTTTTTAAAATAATTATTTGAAGTATTTAATTATACTGTAAACAAATTCTAGAAGAGTTAAAATTTTCATGACAAATACTCCCTCCGTTCCATGAAACATGGGACTTTTACTTTTTAGAAGGGATTTAAAAGGAGTGTATTTTGGTATTGAATTTTCAAAAATGTCCTTTGATGTGATGGATAAAAGTATGATTTGATGGATAGATTATTAGTAAAAAGGTATGATGTGATAGTTAGAGTATGAAAAAGTAAGGGGTAAAAGTGACTTTTTGATAGAAATGAGAAGTGTTTTATGAGACGAATAAAAAAAGAAAGGAGAAAGGTTTCATGGAACGAAGGGAGTATATGATTTGATAAATTCTAGAAGAGTTGATTTCAATTACATTTTAATTTATAGACCTATTATTTTCTATATCACTCAGAGTTCCACAACTGAGGAAACAGAGTAAGCCTCACATTTGTGTTTGAGTCAATTAATCCATGTGAGTTAATTGAAATCATTAATAAAATAAATATAATAACATAAACCTCTAATTGAAGGAACAAAGGTTGGATTTTACACATCAGAATGTCTTAGAATAAAAGATGTATTAGCCTTGTATTCTAACAACTCAAGGGATTAATGACACTATTTAGAAATAGAATATGATCCACAATATGATTGTTCAAAAAAAATTAAAATATAAATATGATAAAATAGAATTGGTGATAGCAGGAGCCAGATGACTGGGCATGCTATGCTTGATACACACATGAATGATGTGGCACACAATGAACAATGTCTTGGACAGGAGGGTGTATAGCCCATACTCATAGAGGCCCATATACCACACATGGTTCGTGGCAGTCTTATATATGAAAATATTGGCATTAAATCTAATGGTACAATAATTATTTTTGGTAAAATAATGGACATATAATGGATAAGAGATAAGGAAGGGACACGGTGAAGGAAATGGAGATGAATAAACACAACTCGAGCCAGTGTGTGTTACGGGTAAGAATTGACTGTTACCTACAATAATAGCGCTAGTACTACTATATGGATGAGAAGAATGCAATTCATAATGATCACACATGACATGAGTACTAGATCCTGTATCAAGATGCCAATCACCAGACTAACTACTTGTGGAGGCATTCATAGAACGAGAGCCACTAGATTTGTCGCTTAGGCACAAACTTGCAGTAAATGAATGGCCACGTTTATCACGCATCTGACAAATAGGTCGGCGGACGATCCCCACCACCACACAAACCAAAAACGCTGCCCCTCCACTGGCCACCTGCGATGCCTGGGCAAGGCTGAGATTGACTCTTATTGTCAGTCTAACTGCCATCACGGCCTTAATCACGGTCACAGTTTCCGCAGGAAAATAGATTCGTGTGTGTCCACACCTAGAAATTGAATTTTCAAAGGGGCAACCAGTTAGGTTCAAAAAGGGGATAAGAGTCCATTTGCAAGTGGTCAGCTGGTTAGATTTAAAATGACCAGGTTGCCACTTAAGAGGGAGTATTAGAGAGTCTCCCACATAAAAAGTGAGAAGAAAATAATTGATATATAAACTCTTTAGTTGAACTAAGTAATTGATTGAATTCAATTTTTTAAAGTGATTCAGTCTAAGTGTCTTATGGCCCAATTTAGTAACCCTTATCTCATCATAAATTTTATCACTAATCTTGATAACAAGGACCAACTTCGAGCACAGATACTGGAATATAAGCGATTTTGTGAGGATAGATGCTAGAAGTAGAAAAATAGATCTTCGTTGCGTGACGAACGAGCTTGAGAGTACATTTGGTGATTCCAAGTATAGTATTGGTGATTGGAGTGAGGGTGAGGAGTTTTGTTTTCTCATTTGTGGGATGTTCTCTGGTTCTCTATTGCTTTTCATGTTCCAGAATCTTGATCGAAGAAGCACAGACAAATGCACCTTTTTAGTTTTTTGATCAAATACATGAATTTCTTTTGGATAGAGGGAGCAGAACAAGGAATGACACCAGTTTGACACGCTCATAATTTTTTTGGAAAGAAAGAGAGGGATAAGGACGGTGAGGCCATGATCTGTTACAGTCGACCATCGATATTGAAGACTGGTGGTGACGCTCGGTCGTAAACAAAGGGAGACTAGGTATTTGACGAGAAATCTTAGCTCTGATATTATGATACAATTTGATAAGTAGAATAATGAGAGTAATTAATAATAATATTCTATTTCCTATCATCTCTTTTGTTCTTTATGGATATTGATACAGAAATAATTTCATTAGATTTTTTCGTAAAACATTTTCAAATTATTATTTTATCTAATTAACATATTATGTACTTTTTATTTAACTATATATATGTCAAAAATCGATGTGGATTTTATGTAAAAAGTCAAGACTGGATGAATATTTCTAGTCGAAGCGGAAGGAAAAATTTCAACATGAATCTAATGATAATATTACATTTATATCACACCCCAATATATTCTATACATAGTTTATAGTTAAAGACTAAAACCTTTGATGAAGAAAAGTCTTACGAGACTTTATTTTCCAGAGATACAGGGAGTACTCGCCTGCCCCATAAAAATATTTATTCTCATTTTACTTTAAATTTTCCAAAGACATTGTGGTTGAGTGATATATACAGTATGTAACTCTCTCAAATATGAAGTCACACTTTTGAACTCCCATATGAGCATTGACTTTTAGTCGTTTCAAGGTTCAAGTGACATTAAATCTTAATATCATAGGATGACCCAGGGGCGCTCTGGTGCCCCGTTCGTAAAATTGACGGTTCCTACTCCCCCGGTAAACCCCCCCACCTAACCCTGGTCCGAACACACCCCCCACCGCCTTCAATTGCACCCCATAAGTTGATTTTGACTTTGGAGTCAAAATTTAACTCCAAAGTCAAAATCAACTTGTGGGGTGCAATTGAAGGGGGTGGGGGGTGTGTTCGGGCCGGGGCCGGGTGGGGGGTTTACCGGGGGTGTTAGGGGGGTAGGAACCATCAATTTTACGAACGGGGCACCGGAGCGCCCCCGGGTCATCCCATGACATCAAGGTTCAATGTCACTTGAACCTTGGTGATGAACAAAACTACATCTATACTATATTTAAAAAGAGGTGAATTTTTTCCGCCCATATGTAAGAGTAATATATGGAAATTTAATGCATTTTACTCATTATATATGTGTGTGGATGCATTAAATTTAGTAAGCATTATTAATTAATTCTTCATAATTAATGGTAAATGGATTATGTTAAGGGTAACTTTGTATGAGCATTAAAAATGAGGAATTTCATAGAAGTATTAACTAATACGTAGTAATTAATTAATAATTAATAGTAATGTAGAATTTCATATGAGCATTAAAACTGTTTCCATTTTTATTTAAACATATCAATATGTTTTTTAATAACAACGAAACAGTAAGGGGCTATTTGGCAACTTCTGAATAGGTAAATGCTGAACCAATAAGAGGTCTGAAACATTAAGTGTTGAACCAGTAAGAGGTCTGAACCATTAAGAGCTAGTATATTACTTAACTATTCAGAGGCAAATGTCTGATCAATTCAGATAAGAGCTCTTAACCATTCAGACTCTGTATAATACTTAACCATTCAGAGGCAAATCTCTTAACCATTCAGACATCTGAACCATTAAGAGGCTGAAACAAACAGTCTGAACCATTAAGTGCTGAACCATTCAGACATCTGAACCATTAAGAGGCTGAAACAAACAGCCCCTAAGGTGGAAAGGGAAATATGGTTCAGTTTTTATTTAAATGCTATGTCAATTAATGGTAAGTGATAAGTTGGAATATGTTTCTATTTTTATTAAAAAAAAGTTATGTTTTTGTATGAGCATTAAAAATATTTTTATTTTTATTTAAATACATTATTAATATGTTTTATTTTTAATAACACCGAAAATAGCAATTTGAAAAGTTGAATATGTTTCTGTTTTTATTTAAATGCTACGCTAGTTAATGGTAAGTGTTGCTATGGGAATTTTGGATTATATTAATTAATAATTATATTTTAAAGGGGAATATGTTTCTATTATTATTAAAAAATTACTGTTTTCGTATGAGCATTAAAAAAGTTTCCATATTTATTTAAACCTTATTACCATTTTTTAAGATTAAAATTTCCATTTATTTAAAACTTTATTTAAAATAGTTATTACTTTTTTTCAAGTTTAAAATTAAAACTTATTACCATTTTGATCTAAGTGTAAAACTAATAACGTACACTTGGATTTTTTATTTTATTCCACGGGTAATGAAATATACTTGGAATAAAATTTTCAAAACATTAACTATTTTTGATAATATGAAAAGAAATGAATAAAATAACAAAAAATGGAAGTTCTCTATAAAAGTTCACTTTTATTGTTAAATAAAAAAAATAATTACACGAATAAAAGTCTTTTTATAATGTATTTAAATGGAATCGCAAATAATCAATATGATGTATGAATAATTCTACTTTGAGAAGCACGGATGTTTTATTTTTATTTTTTTAATATTTAAGGGAAATTAGCTACATTGTACATTGTGGACAGATAATGTTTATCTGGTGATCGATGGTCTCAACAAAGTGGTATCACCGTCTCAAATTCCGGTAATGCAAATGGTGAAACCTAGTATTAAAAAAATTTGGATACAAAAATTTAATTGTCTAACAAGTGTTTTTTTATATTTTAGAATGAGCATCGGTTACACAAATATTTAAAGGTCTAACGAGTGTAAGATAATTGTTTATTTTACTCAATGAAAAAATACTGTTTTCATTGTTAATAAAAAAGGAGTAAAATTCCAACAAAAAACATAAAACAGAGACACTACAAGTATTGCTTTCCGTAAAAACGAATCACTGCAAATAAATTTAGTTTCTTTCTGTAAATGCTCCTTTGTTTTTATGGAGTATATAGATCTCCACTTTATTAGCAATTTGACAAAATGAAAAAAAAACACACAATTAACTCCGAACAAATTTTTTAATCGGAGTTTTGATTAATGTTATTTATATTTTAGTCAAAGAAAAATGTATGTTGTAGTTTCAAGAATAATAAATCATAATTACTTGAAGATTCTAATATGCAACGAAAACAGTATTTTCACAAATTTATATGAGCAATGTGAATTATAAAGTAGTCTTTTAAATATTGTAAACCATTTAACTTTTGTAACTTAGAAAAATGAAATCTCTATATTCCATTATATACTACTCCCTCCGTCCTATAGTGTTCTTCCCGGTTCTGTTTACGAAGTTTGACCGACTTTATTTTTAATTCAATTTATTTGATTGTAGGTGTAAAATTTAAAAATAAAATTTATATATTTAAAAACTACATCAAAAGTTCTACAAAACAAGTGGTGACAAGACTATATTATTTTATCAAATACCTAATGAAAATAGGTAAAAAAAAGGGATTAAAGTTTGACCGTGTGAATAGTAAGTGGGAAGAACATTTCAGGACGGAGGGAGTAATTTGTAACATTCAAAAACGAGGTTAATATAATTTAACAACTTAAATATGACCCGTGCAACGCACAGGTGTATAACTAGTGAGAATAAAATTACTAGTACCAAAAAAGTACTAGTAATTTTTCAGAGATATTGTAGTAAATTTTAAAAATATTGTAGTAAATTTTAAAATTGTAGTAAATTTTAAAAATATAATTTATATTTCAAAAAACTAAATCTAAAAGCTATTTAAATTAAAATTTAGATTTAGTTATGATTAATGAAATAAATAAAAAATATCACATTTCTTTTGACAATAAAAATTTGTTGTCATAGTATGACAACAATGACTACAGTACTCCAATAAAAATACCAATGGTTTTAACCCCCTAAACTTTTTTCGAACATCCCCTCCAGTTGGGGGAGGGGGTTAGGGGAAGGAACCATCAATTATTTTATCGAAATGATGTAGCCCTTGTTACAATCTCACATTATTGAGTCTGGTAAAATACAATAAGGGTCCGTTTGGTACACGGAATTGATAGAATTGGTTGAATTGGAAGCTGAAATTCTATGGAATTGATTTCAATGGAATTGAGTTCTCCATTTCCAATTCATTTATGGCACTACCAATTTGAAATTTACATATTTTTGTGCTACCAAAAAGTAAAATTGGAATTGTTGTTTCTAGTTCCAGTTCCACAGTTTGAATTCAGTATACCAAACGGAGCCTAATAAATTTTGATCGTTGAGTTACACGAGTAGTCAATTGAACTTTCCCGCTAAAAGTCGGTTCGTTTGGTTTGAAAAAGTATTGTTAGATTTTGTAAGGAATTGAAATAAATTTGAAAAGTTAGAAGAATAAGAAAATGTTAAAAAATGAAAATTGCTGAAATAAATACTATATGCAAGAAAACGGTTAGATTGATTGGAACTCTTTTCGTCCGAGTGTATTTGTCCAGTTTGACTTTTTCGAATCAAGCTGAACAAACTTTAAACTTCAATTAAATAAAAATCGTAATATATTTTAGCATAAAAATGGCTTTACTAGATTTATCTTATTGAGAACTTTCAAAGTTATATTTTATTATTATAGTAATACGCAATACAAATTGAGAGTAATTATTGGAGTTCAAAGTTTGTCCAGATTGACTTGAAAAAATTAAACTGGACAAATATGCTAGGACGGAGGTAGTATTTTTGAAATTTCATATTTTTAATAAAACTATTTATACTTCATACTTTGTATATTTTGATTTTTTTTTCTGTTTTTTTTGTATGATACTATTTTTGTTTCAAAGTATATGTATAATAATTTTTTTTGTAAACCACGCTCATTATATTATTAGTTTTTCTTACTGTTTTAACCAGCATATGTAATACGTACATTACTATTTTTCTTAATTTGCATGTCACCAACTCATGTTCCAAAAATAGTGGATAAAGAGAAACAATAATTTTTATTAATATTAATGGAAAGAAAAGTTAGCAAGAATAATTTGATGTTATCTGAATCTATAGTTACAAGTTCCGTTATGCCTCACAATAAAGACCTTAGAAATACTACGTAATTGGTATTTTTCTTTTAAAAATATTAATTAAACCACTACATTGTGATTAAGAGAAAAAAATTGTTGAGACTCATAACTTCCATAACCCCTAGGGATGGCAATTCAACCCGAACCCGAGCTTAACCGACCCGACCGACTACTAAAATATCTGAACCCGAACCGAAAATAAAATAATCCGAACGCGATCCGAAATTTTTTACCCGAACCCGACATCGGGTCGGGTCGGGTGTGGATTTATAATTTTACCCGACCCGAACCCGCACCCGACCCGACTAAAACCCGAATATTTTATTACATAAAAGTCTATCTATGGATATAATGAGCACTCCGTATAATCTCTTGACAAAGTGCTACTATATCAAATATCTTTTTTATAATCATTTTTATAATCCCTTAATAAAAATGAGACATAAAAAAAGAAACACAAAAAAATTAGATTTAATCTTTTCAAAATTATTGGGTACATCGAATTGATTATTGGTTAAAAGTCGGGTATGGGTCGGGTTCGGGTTTTGGGTTGAAATGTTGGGTTCGTGTCGAGTCGGGTTTTTGGCTTAAAAGTTCGGGTTTCGGGTCGGGTTCAGGTTTCGGTTTTAAAAGTCGGGTCGGGTTCGGGTATAGTACTATCCGACCCGAACCCGACCCGTTGCCATCCCTAATAACCCCCCACATTTCACCCTTGTCCAATTGTCCCTAGTTGTATGTCAATAACTCCCTCATTTCACCCTTGTCTCAGCTGTATATCCTTTTCTCTGTTTGATTACACGACCAAACGAAAAAATGAAGAGGGACATGTGGTTAGAGTGGGGTGCAAGAGGGGTTGGGGGGGCCAATGTCATCTTATGACATATCAATGTCAATAGAAAAAAAAAGATGAACCCCATCCCCGAAGGCTCCCTCAAACATAGCCGGACGGTCACTGAGAGGAGGTAAAGATATCTGCAGTGGAATAGCAGAGTTGAGAGAGCTTTAGTGAAGATATCTGCAGTATGTAAACACGTAGGAACGTATGCTATAACAATATGATGTCGCTGGATGCATTCCAAGACAATATGAGAATCAATATCAATGTGTTTGGAACACTCATGAAATATGAGATTAGCAGCAATGAAAAGAATAGGCTTGTTGTCACAATACAATTTAGGGGTAGTGACGCAAAGTACGACTGACATGATGCCGGAAGTATACCTCGGATCCAACGAATTTCTGCACATACATTAGCCATGGCACGGTATTCAGCTTCAGCCGAAGAACGAGACACAGTGGTATGCTTCTTGGTACGTCATGAGACCGGTAATCCACCAAGAATAACGAAATACCCTGTGACCAAGCGACGAGTGTGAGGGCAGCTCGCTGAGTCAGAAACAAAATAAGCCACAAATGCAAGATTACTATTGCTCCTTAAAAGAATCCCCTGACATGGATGACCTTTGATGTATCAAATGACACGTAACACGACATTTAAGTGATCCAAATGAGTCATAAGACCCGATCACAGGCCCGGGTATCCGGCCCGTCCGAAAAAGCCCGCCCGCAAAATAGTGGGCTTGGGTTTGACATTTTAGGGTACAGGTCGGGCTTGGGCCTTATAAATGGTGGCTCGAATATTTTAGGGCCGGGCTCGGGTTTATGCTCAAGCCCACGGGCTGGTCCGGCCCGAATAAATTAAATATTTATATTTAATATAATTATAATAAAATAACATTAATAATAATAATAATAATAATAATAAAGAACAAACCTATTTTAAATTATTATAAACACACATACATACTTCTATGGAGAGAAAAAATAAACTATAAATATTTATAATAAAATGAATGCATCTTTACTACTCCGTATTGTTTGCAACGTATCACACATTGATTATGACATTCTAATAGATAATATTTTGTACTCCATACATAGTAGCAATATCAAACAAAATATATTTATATATCAATTTTTCTTTCATTTACTCATAATAGTTTTTATATCAAATATCTAATATATTAACTTGTTACTTTAAAAAACAAATTATTTTTAAATTATTTAGAAGTTTTTGTCGGCCGGGCCGGGCCGGCCCGAAGCCTGCGGGTAACCATGCGGGTCGGGCTTGGGCTTCAATTGTTAGGCCCGTTATACGGGCCGGGCCGGGCTCGGGCCTATAAAATTTTCGTAAAGTAGTGTCTCGGCCCGGCCCGAAACCCGGCCCAGCCCACACTTTGATCAGGTCTAAGTCATATACAACAAGCACCCAACAATGCGATGATACTTAGCTGGATCACGGATCTCCCGACGGGAAGAAATGGCGAGGTTATGAGTCACATGGAGATGAGTGTCAACAAGCTTGCAACCTGTCAAATTGGCTTCCTGAATAATATCAAGAGCATACTTTCTTTTATTCTATATCATACCCTCCCTTGAGCGAACACATTCTATCCCCAAGAAATAGGACACATGACCCAACGCGTGCACGATTGGCAGCTGCAGCGGCACAATTGCACCCACCAGTGGGATCAGTGGAGCCATACAACTGGTTCTAGATGGTGAAGAACAAATTGTAATACGCCACGACACTCAAACCCTTTTTCGCAAAGTATTTAATTCATACTCCAATCGATAAATCCTAGGACCATAAGTACAACTGTACCGCTTTTTGAGAACGTCCCACAACTCAAAAGCAACAGTATGAGAGACAATACTATGTTGGATGGCTTCATCCACACTATTGAATATCCAACTGCATATGATTTGATTATTAGCATATCATGCAGACATCTCATGATCATCGGTGGGCTTGGGTACTCCGGTAGATGATAAAAAAAACTGATTTGCCTCTACCGCCCAAAGCATTACAAATTGCCTTTTCCCAAATATCAAAATTATTAGTCTTGAGAAGATATTTGGTCAAGGAATTACCAAGACCTTCAGACAGGTGGATATAATATTATGGAATACGAATCATGAATCAACCTTGTCTTCTTGGCACCTTCGATGTTTGCCATGACGTCATTGGATGTGTAGCTGTCGGACAATGGTTGTTGGACACAACAACGAATTGGATCGACAGACGAAGATAATTGGACTTGCGGTCAAAGGGATCTAAAACCTGGATGAAGACGAAATCTATACGAAGACCAAGACGAAGATAAAATCTGGACAAAGGGACTGTGATTGAAAACTTGGACAGACGAAGAGATGGCACCCGCAGACCCGGAAGGAACAATCAACAATCTGAAATTGAGCGATCAGACACTGTACGATCGGTAATTTGGACGGACGAAAAATACTATGTTTTAAGTATGATCCCTGAATAGCGCCGATATCGTGTAGAATTTACGAAATGAATTGTTATATTTTCCATTGATGTATTAATCATATATATAGTACAACAAGTTACCAAACTAAATAAGGAAATAAACTCCTACAAGAAATCATATTTCTACAAGGAAACTGTGTATAATAACACAATATTCTTTAATAAAACATGCACCTGGAACTTTCAGTCCTATGCTTAACATAATTGTCTCCTAGCATAGTTGGCAGAAATCGAACTCAAGTTTTACCCCCTTGATATCCATTGCCTTACAAATTGCGCAACGCTCACTATCTCTATCCGATTCTAAGAGCACTGGAAATACGTTTGAAGCCCCGGGACTTCAAACCGGGGCTTCAAACTTTCTCTCTCTGCCACGTCAACTTTAACTTACACCAAAAATTCACTGGAAATGGGTTTGAAGCCCCGGGGCTTCATACTGGGGCTTCAAACCTTCTTTTTTTACATTTTTAAATATACATCTTCTAAATTTAAATTAACAAATTTAAATTAATTTATTATTTAATTATATTGAAACACGAATACTAAAAAAATACATTCATTAAATTTGAAGAAATTGAAACGACAATAATTTAAAATTTAAAAAATTACATTCATTAAAAAAAATAAACGACAATAATAAAAAAGATACATTAATAAAAAAACTAAGGTAAATTATATTTCGCCTTGATCTCTCTTTGTCTTTGCTCGTAGATCATCCGTTTGAAAAACCGACAACGTAGAAAGGTCGGTTTCCATGATTTTGATCTCGTTGTCCTGCTCCTTTCGCTTCAACTCCTTCTCTTTTAGCTTCAACCTCTCTTCTTCTCGAAGATTGAACACTCGAAGTTGTTCAACCATTGCCCGACTGATTTCGTCGCGAGAAGAAACGGAAGCACAGTCGGACCCTCCCGAACTCGAGGCAATGGATTTTGCCTTCTTTCTTCCGATCGGCCGTGGAATGGGGTCCTCGTCATTGGAATCCGCAACGTTGAATGGAGGAATTTGATCGGACGGACCGATAGTCTCGTCGACCTCAACCTCGGCGTCGACAGAGGATCTTTTCTTTGACGATCCGCCGTCGGAATTGTTGAGTTGTTGCCACTTCGGGGAACGGCTCAAAATCCTCAAGAATGTGTGAAGAAGATTGAAGGTGTGAGAGAATGGGAGGGGGGTTTGAAATTTTTTTAAAAAAATTAATTTTTCTTTTTTTTGTCTTCAACGGCTATTTGAGCCGTTAAGGGGGGAGGGAGTTGCGCCAAACTACTGACGCCGATGCAACGATGCCCTTATCACGCCGATGGGGACGGTGTTTAACGCCTCCCGGCGTTAAAACCGGGATGAGAATGATTTTTTTTATTTTTTTGATTGGGGTGAGGAGTAAAATTTCTTGAGATGTGATTGAGGTAACTCCACAGTCCACCCCACATGCCTCCTCCAACCTACCTAACCTACCTCTCTTTGTGGGCCGGCCCTACGCACCCGGTTTGTGGTTTGGCCGTTTCCTTCACATACAAACACATTTACCAATTTACCAGTATCAATTCTTCTCTTTTCTTCCTCCTCCTCCTCCTATTAAGCCTTTTCGGTCGATCTACCCCCCCTCATCCGCCCGATTCCTTCTCTTCTTTCTTCTTCGCGTTCCTCGATTTCTCTGGATCGGACCTTAATTTCTCTCGGATCGGACTTTCGATTTCCCTCGGATTGTAGCTTGCGCAAGGAAAGATGTTCTTGGTCGATTGGTTTTACGGGATCCTTGCCTCTCTCGGTCTCTGGCAGAAGGAGGCCAAGATCTTGTTCCTGGGCCTCGATAATGCCGGGAAAACCACCTTGCTTCACATGCTCAAAGACGAGGTCTTTTTCCCCCCTTTCCTGTATTTTGCTCTCCTGTTTCCTTCGTTTGCTGCTCGGATATTCCGATTGTCTGAAACAATTTCCAATTCTCTAGAAGCCTGTGATTTTGCTTTATTCGATTTGAGCTCTTTTTGGTCTAATCTAGTAATCTGAAGGTTTCGACTGTTTTTTGGGTGATCGATCTATTACGGCTGATGAATCGTCAAGTATTTTTTTCATCTATTCATGAATGTTCTGTTATATCTAATTGTCTATTGAAAATAGTATTGGGTTGTTTCTTAAATTGTGATTTTTGTTCCTCTGAAGATCTTGGGAGCATTTTGATTGATTGGTTTGGGTGACGAGATCTTTTTTGTGTTTTAATGTTGGAATTGGGCAGAGATTGGTTCAACATCAACCAACACAATACCCGACATCCGAGGAGCTGAGTATTGGGAAGATCAAGTTCAAGGCTTTTGACTTGGGAGGGCACCAGATTGCTCGTCGTGTTTGGAAGGACTATTATGCTAAGGTATTTGACCTATTGTTTCATGCATCTTAGTGTCTTGTGACATGGGGTTTGCGGATAGCTTGTTCTGTTATCAAATGGTGCAAAGATGATGATACTTTACTTATCTAGGTTTGAACTGTTGCATCTTATTTAGATGATAAACTAATTTGTGCATTAAAATGGGGATTCTGGATGTATTCAAAATGCATTCTCCATCCCCTGAATCACCTCCATAGGCTTGTGTTTTCACTACTAATGTCATACTATCATTTTTTGAACTTCATAGACAATATTGTGTGCTCATATGACAATTTTGTTTGTAACTTTTGTTTTAAAAATAGGGTGCTTGGTGTACAAATAATTGTAATTGTTTTGTACTCTGTCCCAAAATAAGGTTCCCTTTCACTACTCACGGGATCAAATAACTTTTGTCTTTACACATTTTCATTGATCTTTTGGTCAAACACCACTTGTTTTGTAGAACATTTGTTGTAGTTTTTAATTATATACTCCCCGTCCCATATCTTTCTTCTTGTTTTCTTTTTTGTGATGTTCTATATCTTTCTTCCTGTTTTTAAAATGGTAAGTAAACAAAAATGAAAAGACAAATTTACCTTCCAACTCCATTTTTTTTGTTTTTTAATGCACCAACCCCAACCCTCCCCCCCATTTACTCCCCTCACCTGTCACTCTCATGTAATCTTAGATCTACACTCTTTGTTCTCACATCAACCCTAGCTTCTTCTATCTTCTTTGTTAGCACTCTCCACTTCCTCTCTGAAATTCCAGAGTCCGAATCATAATGACTACCCCGGTTAAACCACCTAACCACCACACCCTCCCTCTCCTCTCAATCACTCTTTCTTCTCCTCCTAGAGCATCACCAACAGTTGGCGGGTGATAGAGATTCTTGTCCATCAATTGGGGTTTGGACGGCTGCTGAGGATAGTGACCATGTCAGACTAGTGCTCGAGGCCATTGCGGATTTAGAAGATCTTGAGCAATTGCTTGCATGACTTGGTCAGATCTCAACAGTTTCTTGTGCAGATTATAATGCATATTTGCAACCAGATTTGACCTTAATTCAAGATCCCTTCTCGCCTTCTTCAAATTGATGTAACTCACGAACAAATTTGTAATTAGATAATTCATCTTCACTACAATTTTCCAATATCCTAAATGTCTAGATTTTTGTGCAGCAAGGGATAGTTTAAGACAATTAGGGCTAGGGGTGAATTGGTAAATTTGATGAAGGAAATGGGGAGGAGACACTTAGTTGAAGATGATTCCTGTGTAAAACCGTGGCAAGTCAAAACAAGAAGAAATTTACTAGATGGATGGAGTAATTTTTATTTTTTAAATTCTACCCCAATTTTCAAATATATAAATGGAAAATAACTTCAGTCTAACAACGAAGCTTAAGCCAAAACTTTATTTTGGGATGAAGTATTAAATGTTACCCTCCCACTAAACAGAGCTTATTCAAAAAGTTTCCTTAAAAGCTAATAGAACACTTTACCCCTGTCACCGATTAAGTTTCTTTTGTTTTTTAGTGGAGATTAAGAAAAGGTGAAATTGTGCGGTTGTGCTTTTTTTGCAGAGGAGAAAAATAATGTCAACCATTTGTTCATTTCCTTACAATGAATGTGAAGTTTAGTTTTAGACGACGTAAAAAGAAAAGTGGGAAATATATTTTGGGAGAAAGAGCAGTATTGTAGAGTAGCGAGCGGAAAACAGCACAAGTGGATAATACCAACCTTACTATATTTAATCTCTACACTTGACATTGTGATTACAAGTTTCAAATGATTATTTTCTGATTTGACCTAACAATGCTGTGATATAAGTCACTTTCTGTAATTACTTTTATTTTTCATGTGAAGGTGGATGCAGTTGTTTACTTGGTGGATGCATATGATAGAGACCGATTTCCGGAATCAAAGAAAGAGTTGGATGCTCTGCTCTCGGACGAATCACTGGCCAACGTACCTTTTCTGATATTAGGCAACAAGATTGACATCACATATGCTGCCTCCGAAGACGATCTGCGCCGCGAATTGGGCTTGTCTAACCTCACTTCTGGAAAGGGAAAGGTGAACCTGTCGGATTCCAATGTTCACCCACTTGAGGTATTCATGTGCAGCATAGTGCGCAAGATGGGGTATGGTGAGGGCTTCAAATGGATGTCTCAATACATAAAGTGATTAGGTGCTTCTGCGATCCTTTTATCATCATTATCGTGTTTTTTTGTTTTTCGACGTGCTTTTTTTTAAATCTTCTTACGGGGACTTACAGTTGAACTTTTTATGCGTGAAAGCACTGCTGGATATCTTTCTCTTCTAAGTTGATTGATGAACTTTCGACATCTCGCCTAAAATCTGCCTTCTCATTGTGCTTGTTTGCACTTCACAGAAAGCTCAAGTCTTCTGTTAATTCTAAGTTCTGGTTTTAAGAAGTTATAGCCCCATGGGTTCACTTTGTCATACTGATTTGGGATTATGAATGTGAAGTTCAGAAGGTATGGGTTTAGGCAAAAAGCAAAATAAGTCATATTGTTCCTGTGGTCTATTTATATTCTAGAATTGTATCTCCACTGCACAAATCATTCCCCCCTTTAGGCATAATTGGTCATTTTGTGCCCTTGACACTATGTTTGGTTCAAGGAGAAAAGAAAAGAAAATGATTTTCTCTCATTTTCCTCACCAAAATAAGTCATATTGTTCCTTTGGTTTTCCTCCTCTTAGTACATTTTGCTTTCTCATTTTCTTTTCCTTCCACTTTTTCTTTCTTTTCCTCTAACCAAACAAAAAAATTTATTTTCCATTTAATTTTCTTTTCTTTTCTCTATCAAATTCCTTGAACCAAACATAGTATGAGTGAATCAAAATGCCCTTTCAACTGTGGCCAACTCAAGATTGAAAATGCAATTACCTCTCTTATTAAAAATTATTAATGGTGTTCTTTGCACATATGAAAAACTTTGATGATGTTTGAAGTAATAGAGGGGTTTCAAAAGGTCTCTTTAGTTATAAATATCTTTGAATATATACATTATTCCAAAATTTATATTTTAAAATGAAATTATTGATATTAAATTTTTATCACAATTCAATATGACAGATATATTTTCAATATTAAAAAGGCACATGCACGTATCCACGCTTATAGGATACTCGTTTTTTCATTCGGTAAATTGGAAACATTAGTGCCCGCAAACGATTGGTAAAAAATTTGTTAAACATGACAGGTATATTACTAATACTTCTTTCGTCCCAAATTATAATGTTTGTTTACTATTCACATGGTCAAATTTCTTTCACTTTCTTTCTCTATTTTCGTTAGCAATTTGATAAAATAAAGTACTATTGTTAATACTAGTTTTGTAGATCTTTTGATTTAGAATTTTAATGTGTAATTTTTATTTTTTTAATTATATACCATTTGTCATATAAAATAATTTGAAAATAATTTCAGTCAAACATCATAATCCGAAACAGACGTTATAAAATAGGACGGAGGGAGTATTAATTAGGAATATTGTTTCCTCGTAATTGAATGTAAAAAAAAGAAAAAAAAACATGAGACGAGATCGAGAAGTATAATGATGACGCTGATTATTCTCAGAACTATATAGTGATGTTGTGCATGCTAAAAAGTTAAGTGAAATGTGCAAAATAAAAGCGAACAGTTAACCCCAAAAAGCACAAATTATTGTTCATATACTATGCCTTTTTTCCTTCAAAATACTGTTTTAGTAATTTCTTGCACTACAGTCCTACACTATGTTGTATAGCTTCATGTGTCCTAGCTTCCATCATGTCAAAATGCTGCTTTCTTTTTGGAGTGAGCAACTAGTCCATACTCCATAGTGGATGAGCAAAAAGATTGGGATTGCCGGTGTTGAGTTGGCAAGACAAGAGGTGCTCATGTGATAATACTCGAGTTTTGTTTTTGATAACTGTGTGGCAAAGCAACTTTGTTAAACACGCAAATTATATGGTACAACTGGCTATACTTATTTCTGGGTACAACCAGTTGTGATTCGAAGGAGCAGGGACCCGCTTTGTTTCAGAATGAATACTACTTTATTCGTAAATGAATATTATAATTGTACTGAACAAATGTGTGAAAAAGAGTAATACTACGTTATTTCAAAATGAACCCTTTGTTTTATACGAGAATGAGTACCACTTCCTCCGTGTCCTAATAAACCCTTCTTTTCGAACAACATGCAAAATCTTATTAAAAATTGATGTGTAGAAAATAATAAGCGTGTACAATGTAATATTTTAAAACTACATCAAAAACTCTGTAAAATAAGACGTAACAAAAATATTTATTTTATAAAATAGTCAATTAAAATATACAAATAAAAAAAAATTAGAATAGTAACAATGAGGTTTATTTGGGGATGGAATATTAAATACGGAGCATTGATTTCCAAATTCTCTAAACTTTTAGTTTGAAATACTATTTACAATTTATTTAATATAAATATAAACGCAATTCAAATTTTTAATTAGTTGTACCCCATACCGGAGTACATTATTTTATTGGGATATGCTAGGGGTACACCAAAGGTGTACCCCAAATGTACACCACCCCACCTCTTTACCATTCATTTTATTTTGTTTTTATTTTTACTTTTTTTTTGAATTTTCTTGCCTTTTTTGTGTGGTGATGGAGGGGGTGGGGGATGTTTGGGGTACACTTGTGGTGTACCCCTAGCATTTTCCTATTTTATTACTCCGTATGTTTTAAAGTTTAAACCGGCTGGGAGAGGGGATCCACCGGTCTGATATAACTCATTTCAAAATTTTCAAATCTTTTTATTACTCCGTAGTTGTCAACTACTCCCTCCGTCCTAAATTATAATGCCTATTTACTATTTACAGGGTCAAACTTTATTCACTTTCTTTTTCTATTTTCGTTAGCAATTTGATAAAATAAAATATTATTGTCACTACTAGTTTTGAAGATCTTTTGATGTAGTTTTTTAATATGTAATTTTTATTTTTTAATTCTATACCATTTGTCATATAAAATGGTTTGAAAATAATTTCAATCAAACATCGTAAACCGAAACAGGCGTTATAAAATAGGACGGAGGTAGTAATACGGAGCATTAATTACCTTGTTTTTATCTTTTTTATTGTACGAGTTTGTGTACTCTTCGATTCATTAGAGTATCCCCATTGCTATAAAGATTTAGGAATTATAGTCCAATTTATTAATTTTTAAATCATCAAAGTTACAATCCTCAACCCACAAACCACAATGGTAGGATAGTATTTGGGTTTATTTGAATATTTTAAAAGAAACATAAAAAATAGAAAAAAAAATAGCATCTCTTTCCCGTTTCTGTTACGGTACGCATGAAAAGTAGTTGTTGCCGGTAAGCGTAACTCAACTGGTTGATCAAAAGATGTCAAAGGGTAAAATCTGAGTTTGAGTCCTGATAACTGCACTGAAAGACAATTTTACTAAACATAGGATCTCTGCAAATATCAAATAGCCCACCATTTGCCAGCTAGTTGTGAATGTAACTCAATAAATCTCATAAAATATCATCCCATCGGTTCCAAATATGGGATCTCTATCTCTCTTCTTTATCTCAATTTTTCTAATACAGTATATTTTAGAAATGTGCTTGTGGATCCCAATTATATCACTTTTCACCCCACTCTTCTTATAAATATTCATAGACACGAAACAATGTTGGATGTTTGTATTTATCTATGAGAAATTAAAATGAGGTTAGAATTAGGGTATGTTTAGCATTTTTCTATATTATGGGATCCCTTCATCCCCATTGTGGATACTCAATAGTCTTACATGCAACGATTTTTTTCCTTAAAAAAAAGTTGAAATTACAAATTATGAACTTAATTCCGGCAAAGTTATTTTACTCTTAGGAAAAAATTAAATGCCCTGAGAAGGACATGAACGTTTTGAGAATACCTACGCTACCTTGCTAGTAAAATCGCTACCAAATTTTTCGAATGCATCACATTGAATAATCAATCGAGCAAAGGAACGTATTTTTTTTCGAATCTTCACCAAATTTAAACGAACAAGGGTAACGTGGGAGTGCCATTCTTCTCGAACACTAGAACATCAATTTTTTACCACCCACAAAATAAAGAGCTGTCTCTGTCTGTTGGACAACTTCAAGATCGATGGTTGCAATTCCTTAGCGGCAATGTTCTTTGTTGAAGCCATTCATGTGATTGTTTAGTGAGGGAGAGCTTCTAATCAGAGAAAATCAAAAGATCATGACATCACGTAGGCATTGAATTGTCTTTGCCCACCGGCAGAGGAGGAAGCGCGTTTGAAGTCTCAATAGTTTAAAACTTACTCTCGTATTAGGTTAAAAAATAATAGGATGATAAAACATTCTATATATTCAATTGCTTTTCATCAGAATACAGAGATAGCCATCTCTTTATATACGAAGAGAGAATATCAAATAAGTAAAGATTTAATCCTATCATAATTTTATTCTTACCATAACTTGAATTAAATACTACCAAATAAGCAAATATGTAAAGTTATAAATAATAATAATAATAATAATAATAATAATAATAATAATAATAATACTCCCTCCAACCCAAAACAATTTACTTCTTTTCTATTACATTTTTTTGATAATTTTTGTTTGTTAACATATTTTCATTGATTATTTCATAAAATAGAATATTTGTCACCTATTTTTTATAGAAATTTTCATGTAATATATATATGTGTGTGTGTGTGTGTGTGTGAGTGTGTGTGCGCACTGTAAGGATCTTTTGACTTTTGAATCTTGGGTCATGTTCTGACCCGAAAGTCCTATAGTGTTTCATATGTAAAATTGATGATTCTTACCCTTCTAATATCACTAAATCCTACCCAAACTCCCTACTTGCCCACCCCACCCAGTACCCCGCCCTGGCCCCAAATCCGTTCCACTACTCCATTCGAATTTCGGAACCTGTTTGGGTACAAGGGCACGTTTCAATCCGAACTGAAGTATATAATTATATACTAGGATCAACCACGTGCTTCGCACGGGCTCACATATATTCTAAGTTTTAAATTCTTTAATAATCATATATATACACACACACACATATATAAACATATATATATATACACACACACACACATATAATGAGTTTGATTAATATTATCTAACTATAAAATACTTCGTATCTCTTTTCAGAGAAAAATTTTAATTTTAATATAATATTAATGTACATGTATTAAAATTTATATAAATCTTTATTTTTAGATGTAATAAAAAGGAAAATGATGAATAGTTTATAAAAAATCACATCACTCTTTTTTTAAAGGATTAATAAAGTTAATAAAATCATTTTTAGATAAAAACTAATTATGTACAAAATATATTTTTAAATAGTGTAACACATAAACTCTAAAATGAATACAAACATTGAATAAAATATATTAAGATTTTTAATCTATATACTCCATCCTTTTCAAAAAGATTATCATAGTTTAATTTTTTTTGGTAAAATTATGTAACAATTTTATTTCAAATTAAATATAATTTTCA